TATATATATATATATATATAAAATGATATGGTGTATTTTTGAAAACCTAGAGAATTATAAAAGTGGGAAATTATATATTCCTAGTTGAATGTTTTTGATATGTAGATGAAGTAACTGAGATCATAGTGGTTAACTCATTTTCCTACACGCTGCAAATGTGAATCAGAGAAAGAACTAACCCAAAACTTTCATAGCACTATTCTGATGTTTTCCTTGCGATATCTGCTAGTCACAGATATTTTGAGAGCTCACAGTGTTTCCTAAGACTTTATTAAATACCATGGGGAATGAAAAAATGTAGTAGATTTATATTTTTTGACATTATTTATATTCGTAGGTTTTAGATCTCATGGAGTGGTAAAAAAATTCTAATTTAAGTTAATCAATACCATTTGCATTGCATAAATCACTCATGTTCTTTCATCCTTGGTTTTCCTCATCTATAAATAAGAAATCAGAACATAAATTATGTATTTAAAGGTCAGTTTTATTTCTATGGATGAAATGTCTCTGATTCTTTAGAACACACTTCCAGATTCAAAACTTAACAGAATCATAGAAATGATCACGACGTAGTTTCTCTTTAGAGAAGGACTCACAATTGCTGAAACTGCCTCCTAGTTTTTTGGTAACTGACTTCAAAATAAATTAAAAGTATTTATAATGCCTGTTCTTTGCTTTGACACCTCACTCGACTATTCACTGCAACCCAAAAAACTCATTACTGTCCCTGTAAGCCAGCAAGGGCCTTTTGCTGGCTCCCTTGACCTGGACCAAAGCAGCTGTTGCTGAATTTCTTTCCTTGCTCCTTCCTTGTGGACCGTTTCCTCTGTGGTGTCTGTGTGCCGGATGTAACATAGATACACAAATGTCTGGTGTGGGAGACACTGCCTTCTCTCCTGAAAGCAATAGCAATTGTTTATGTTGCCAGCTCTTAGCTGAGACTAACAACACGAAAGGCCATGAAAGGTGGGGATTTACAAGAAAACAAGGTCAGGGTAGATAAGGGGAGTGCCTTTGTAAAATGTCCACATGGAAAGCTGAATGCAGTAACTATCATAATTATTATTCTTTCTGTTATGCCACAAACCATTATGAAAATATAGTTATAAAGCTTTTTTAAATATAGAAAGCAGTCACGGTTAAGATTGCTCATCTCACTTTTAATATAGTGACATTTTCAGTTGGATTTGCATCCTGTATCTTCCAAAGTAAAATCACTGTAAGTGTAAAACAACAAGACTGCTTTCTTTTATGATTTATAGAATTTATCTCATTTCTTCATACTTATTTATAAAAGACACAAGTATCTATATTATAACAGGAGAGTAGGATAGCCAATGAGATTATAAGGAAATCTAACTAGGAAGAAGCACTTCTCTAAAACACATTGATTGAGTGTATTTCTGGTGCCATCGGCTGAATCTGAGTAGTCTGGTTCAGAAAGGATGTAAATGTCAAAGAAAGATTTA